GATAGATTTAATCACCTTCGTATTTGCTACCAGTGCACGTACGTATATATTGACGTCAGTGCGTTTATGATATAATATCATATCAAATCGAACTCAATCATATCTCATATATTATTAATTAACCTTACGGTAATCATTAATGACGCCGGACGTAGCGCCTCTTCCGTTACTGGAGTGCACTTCAACACTTTTTGCGTACTTAACTTGTGCTTGCTGATTTATATACTTAGATTTTGTACAATACAATACAAAAAATGAATAGGTCAAATTATTAGTAGTTACAGTGGTGTAAATTGTATAATGAGCTGTAAATATAATGATTTTTTTATAGAATAAGGGTGACAAACGAGCACAAGTCCATCTGATGGTTAGGGGATATTGTGACCCATAGAAATCTACATTTATCCAATATTAGAAATCAAAACGTTGTCACCCCTGAGGACTAAGATGGAATACCTCGTTTCCAGTAAAAAAAGGGTCTCCGGATCTCTACACTCACCATACGAAACACAGCAGTATCAAGCTGCTATTTTAGCAGTATAAAGCTGAAAGTATTCCGTTAAGTAATAAAAACGGAATAATGCGTGATAGTAAAATATTATAAAGCGAGATACTAGTAGAAAACTTTTGACCTATTTTATTATAGAGGTGATATCGAAGACATTGAGATTGATTTTATTTTATTATAATATATACAATCTGTTCGAGACAAGAGAAACAAGGGCTTTTGTGTAATATATAATGAGTAACGTTATCCTTGCTCCAATAAATTGCAGTATGAATTGCTCTCGGATATTAGCGCTCTTTGTGCCGCGGACCGCAGCGATATTCATAAGCAAGTAATGAAACTGCCCAATCGTTGCGATAACCTATGATCTGATATCGAGGCCTAAATGTCGAACTGTGATTGCATTTCATATTTATGTTTCACCGATACTTGCCAGCTGGGTGAATACCTATTTACTTTTATAAATGATTCCAAGAATAATCATGCATTATCGAATATCTAAGAAGACGGTAGTATGGTAAATTTCATTTCACAAAACGAGGCAATTATTTTGTGAAATATAATTCTTCATTCACAACTTACATCTTTTGATCTTACCACGGCTCAAATTTTGAAAGCACGGCATAAAACGGTATAAATTTTACCTGTACAGTTAATAAAAGACCAGGGTCTAAATTCCAACAGCTGTTTCAAGGTTAATCATTGTTATCTAAAACTGACAATAGAATTCCCATATAATCGACAATTCGATTAGCTAAATGCTTATATCGAACGATAATAAAGATGTATCAGCTGCGTAAATAATATATAAATGGAAAAACTCGTATTTACTTTGAAGATGACAAGTAAATAAATTAATAAATATGTTACTTGTTTCAGAAGTGCAAGAAGGGAGATGCCGTTGTAAAAATACTACTCGTTGAAAATTTTCATAGGTGAGTAAATCAATCAATTGTAATATAAATGTTCCAGTTAAATAAGTTAATTACTTTTATTTGAAGCAATTGAAATATGTATATTACCAAAAAGTTACCAGTATAAATAATTAAAAGAATTAGTTTTGTAAAATAATTTACTGACTGCAAAAATAAAATACTTTGAATAAATATCTTGTTATCTTTGATGACAGTGAATATCCGCCAAGTATAACCGGATTCTATTAGTTATCTTAATTGTGAGGATAATAATCATTTCTTAAAATTTTTCCATTTTAATTTTTTTTTAATAAATTAATAAACAATTTCTTTTCTAATGCAGCTATAAAGATGATTCCTCATCAAACTTTATCTCATTTACGACGTATTCATAATGTCATTAAATTATGACAGAATGAAAAACATTTCTTGAATAATGATACATAATTGCATTAGTTCATAACCCGCAGTGGTTATGATATGGCAAAGTCTAAAGTTTGCTGATTTCTTACGTATTGCTATTGCTTTGTATATTATTATTTAAATATGGGATCATAACACATATATAGATAACCATGGAACTTTTGTAAACAATCATGAGCTCATTGCCTATTACTGTTTTGTTTGTCATGACTTAATTCAGAAAATTGGTGTAGATATTAATAAATTATGTGATGAAAATTAAAAAGAATTAAAATATAAATTTTACTTTTAATTAACTTATTTTTTTGCAAACAGTCTAAGTATCACTAAAGTACAGTAATGATTGATTTTGATCAAACTGCATCTTAACAATCGATTTTCAATTATTGTCCATTACCTTAAATTGTTAGCGAGTGATTCAATTCAAAAAGGACGCTGACATGAGTAAGTACTTCACAGTCTTTCCTGAATTGAACGCCGATTTATATTTTTAGCGTAGTACTTTTTTAACCTTAAGATGTCATTTTAATAAAAAAAGTATAAACTGTTTACTTTCGCTCTACCCTTTTCGACGTTACTTGTTTACTATATAATCAAATGCAATATTACTTCTATCTATCTAATGAATATATTAAAAGAACTTGTTCAAACTTAAAATATTGAAACTATTAGGTATCTTTAACTTAACATGAAGTTGTCATGACGTATTCACTAATTGGAATTTCCAAGTCACACTGGCAGTTAACAACACAGTTCAAAAACAAGTTTTTATATCATCGACATTAAAGCGAGCGACGAAATTTGCCGTAATGAACTGAATGTTATTATTTTCACATTTGTCGCAGGTTTAAATATTTCTCCTGTAAACACATTATATATGTAATTCACACAACTCGTATTAATAACATAGTTTTCAAGCTACGAGTATCTGTATATGTAGTAAATCCACGCTGCAGCTGTATAGAATACAGCACGAATGGGTCGTTCCTTTTTTGTAGTATTATAAGCCAGTGATCTCGCCTGATGGTAAGTGGTGATGCAATGGAAGATGGGAAAGCGTACTGATTTGCCTTTATAAAATCCTATTCACTCTCGACTAAGGTGGAAAGAAAGCGTGGGCTGGGAAAGACCATTATATTGATTTGTGTGACGTATGTTTAGTGAAGAGAAGCGGAGATCCTTTTACTGGTAACAAATGCTACTAAAATACTATTTTAGTTCTTAGGGGTGACAACGCATTCACATTTTTTGTCTTTATCAAGAACAAATATAGATCTCGTTTTTATATATAAAACCAAAGTGATAAAACGAACTAACAGTCCACCTGATGGTAAAAGGCCCTGAGACCTCTGAGATCTAAAATGATGGCTCACAGCCTAATATTATACCGCATCACTATACACTTCAGACTGATACACAGCAGCACAAGCACTGATAAATGGCTTAAGTAGGTAACGGAGTACAGACAGACTCCTCGGCTGAAAAGTAATTCTATCACCTAGTGTTTAGGCCACAGCATCTTCTTACTATCAAAGGAACTGTGTCTTCGTTGCCATTCGTAATTTATCATGTTTTATAACGTTGTTTAACTCGTATTAATACGAGTATTGTTAATAGCAGAGCTTTCCAAACTTGAAAAATACCTAAATAAAACATTTTGTTACTAATACAGTAACGATAATTCAGAGAGCATTTCATTTTTAGAACCGACCATCACACTTTGATCCTAATAGGAAAAAACTTTTGGATGGTGCATACAAAGTCAATAACCTGTTTCGACTCTTGCAACCGATAGTTTATGGTTACTCGCTAATATGATTTATTAGTACTACCACAAAACCGTGACCTACGCGAACCTTGGTAATTAATTTTAATTGTTTTTGTAAACTTCTATATCTTCCGATTTTATTCGTTCCACCGATATTAATGTTGTTCGACTACATCGATACTTTTAGTAGTAATTACTGTTATGTAAAATTGCATAAGTGTTTGCATTTACTGTTTATATATTTTTTGATTATATTGTATTTAAGATTATTTTGAGCCGTGGTAGCTCAGAGGCTAAGCGGTCGCTGAAAATTTCACAGTACGCGAGCATCCTGGGTTCGATCCCTACAGACACCAATGAAATTGTTAATTACAATTTTAAGTCCTGATCTCTTGATTTACCACGTTCTCGGCGGTGAAAGAACACTTCGGGAGGAACTCTGCTGTCTATGAGAAATAATAAATAAATATTTCATAAACATGTCAAGTTTGCCAACACGCTTTGGAGCAGCGCGACAGACATTTCCTTGTTCTAAAACCCCCTCAGAAATGTCAGGAGACCTGTGCCCAGCAGTGGGACGTATATAGGCTGTAACTTTAATTTTACTATTATTTGTTTTTTCTTCCTTGAATTTTTATGAATATATCTTACAATCATCTTTAAAAGATTTATATATTTAGCTTATGATATAAGTGTAAAATTTACCTACTCTTGTTATTAAATTAGAAGTAGTTTTACTTGTTCACAACAGGATATTCGTAATGTGGTGACGTCATAGGGATTAATATATCTTATCTCTAAATGATAACAGCTATTGGTAACGTAACTTCACGCTCGTTTCTGCGAAGTTCTCTGTTGCTTGTTATTCTACGTCCCGCATGAAAAAAATGTTCCCACTAAATTACTGTTGAACTAACAAGAATTTGAGTACCCTTTTTTGTTGATTTTTTTCTGCAGATATGTCACATTTGTCGACTTGGCTGGTGGTGGCAATCCTGGTTTTGTGAAACACGTACGTCTTTTTTTAATTCAATGAAATTCAATGCAGATTACGTAATACAACATATATGGGAGTAAAAATTAACTAATACTCCACCTAATAGCAAAAGGCTGGTTTCCATTTACATATTACACCTACTTATAACAAAGAAAACTACGTATGAGTTGTCGCTCTTGTGGATTAGGATGAAATGGATCTCTAGCCTGTAGTTATACTGGGATACCTTTTGCCGGCTTTGATCACTGCGATCGTCGATGTCAATTATAATTTTTATCACTCATCGTTTATGTCAATTATCATGTCATAAACGTGGTACAGCCATGCTGCAGCTATTAGTAGTATAATAATAATAGTGCTGGACTACATGGCTGGACTACATGACTAAACATGGCTGGACGCGCTACTAAACAAAGTAGCGCCATCCCAGCCTGGAGAAAAAGAATTGAGGACCGTATCGCAAAGGCAAGGGCCCTTATCGGCAGACTGATAAGCTTCAGGTCGGGTAATAATAGACCGAGGGTTGTGCGCACCGTTAGAATGGCGTTTGCTGGGACAAATATCAGTTTGTCCCAGCCGGATATCACGCAGAAACTAACGGAGCGCATAGACGACCTGAAGCAAAAGATTGCCGCTTGGGGGAAGCGGATTCGCCGATTTACCGAGAGGTCAAGGCGGTTCAACCAGAATCGTCTCTTCCAGAGTGATCAGAAGAGGCTCTACAAATCATTGGAGCGACCAGAGGTATATGGAGCGGGCCCAGGACCGGATCAGGCTAACACTGTCGCATTTTGGCGTGGCCTGTGGTCAGAGCCCGTAAACCACAGCGAGGGCCCTTGGACGGAAGTTGTGGCGAGTCAGTGTGCGAGTATTACGCCCATGGACCCCGTCATCATAACGCCGGATGACGTAGCTGAGGCGGTCCGTAGAGCCCCGAACTGGAAAAGTCCGGGACTCGACGGACTGCATCACTACTGGCTGAAGGGGTTCATGGTGTGTCACGCTGTGGTCGCCCGTCAGTTTCAAGAGGCTCTAAACCAGAAGTCGCTCCCTAGCCTCTTCACTACTGGGATCACTCATTTGGTTCCTAAAGACCAGGTTACCACAGACCCGAGCAAATACCGCCCCATTACGTGTCTACCCACCATATATAAGACACTGACATCCATTTTGAGCGCGAGAATCACTCGTCACCTGGAGCTAAATCAGGTGATGTCACGCGCTCAAAATGGATGTCGGGGCGGTGGTCGTGGAACTAAGGAACCACTCCTCATTGACGCGGTCATTGGCAAAGTGGTGAAACGCAACCGTCGGAACTTCTCCGCCGCCTGGATAGACTACAGAAAGGCATTCGACTCAGTGCCCCATACATGGCTAAAGAAAGTCCTCGAGCTGTACAAGATAGACTGTACAGTGAGAGACTTCCTCGAGCAGTGTATGGGGCAGTGGAGTACGATCCTTTGTCATCTGGGTGAGCGGATGATGGCTGCGGAGAACCACATAAGGATAAGAAGGGGTATCTTCCAGGGCGATTGTCTGAGTCCAATCTGGTTCTGCCTCTCCCTGAACCCTCTCAGTACCTTACTGGAGGGATCCGGGAGAGGATTTCAGCTACGGAAAGGAGGGACAAAAGTGACCCACCTTTTCTATATGGATGACCTTAAGTTATTCGCCTCCAGTCGCTCCCATCTTGTGGAATTGCTAAAAATCACTTGTGAATTTAGCAATTCCATTGGAATGAAGCTGGGGACGGATAAGTGTGCGGTCCTCCATGTTGAAAGGGGAAGGGTTGCTAACTCTGAGGGCATAGATTTATCTATGCCCGTCAACTTAAGGACCCTTTCCGAGGCTGAAACATACCGATACCTGGGTATGTCACAGAACATCGGTATCGATGAGGCTGGTGTGAAACAGTCAGTTTGCGACGTGTTTTATGCACGCTTGACCAAAGTGCTTAATAGCCTTTTTCCGGTGTGATAAGACACACGCATATAACGGTTGGGTCATGCCTGTCCTTATGTATACCTTTGGCATACTCAGGTGGACTCAGACTGAACTTAACGCCCTGGATAGAAAAGTCCGCACTACCATGACGTCCCATAGGATGCATCATCCGAGATCGTCGGTAATGAGGCTGTACTTGCCGCGAAAGCATGGTGGGCGTGGCTTTCTAAGCGCGCTCACCATGCATAATCGTGAAGTGTGCAGCCTCCGTCATTACTTCCTGGCGAGATCGGATGATCCATTCTATAATGACGTCATTTCTAGTGATAAAGGGCTTACCCCTCTATCCTTGGCCAACGAGCAATGGCAGGACCCAGCAGTGCTTAGCATTTCCGACCGGGAGACCGTATGGAAGGAGAAGGAGCTCCACGGGAGGTACTACAGGGCTCTACATGAGCCCTTCGTAGATACAGTCGCCTCCCTCAACTGGCTGCGTTTCGGTGACCTCTTCGGGGAAACCGAGGGTTTTGTCTGTGCAATACAGGATCAGGTTATTAAGACCAACAACTATCGGAGATACATCCTAAAGGATGGCACCGTCGACGTCTGTCGAGCTTGTCGCCATCCCGGGGAGTCACTTAGGCATGTCATCTCCGGTTGTTCGGCGCTTTCTAACTCTGAGTACTTGCACAGGCACAACCTAGTAGCCAGAATTCTACACCAGGAGCTCGCTCTGAAATACGGTCTCGTGGACCGGAAATTGCCGTATTACAAGTACTTGCCGGAAGCCGTGCTCGAAAATGACCGCGCCAGGCTCTACTGGGACCGGGCCATCATCACAGACGGGACTATTTTTGCAAATAAGCCTGATATTGTGCTGATGGACCGGGCACAGTCAAGGATATTTTTGGTCGACATTACCATTCCGTATGACGAGACCCTCGTGAAAGCTGAAGCAGATAAGCAAACAAAGTATCTGGACCTGGCTCACGAAGTGACCGACATGTGGGGTGGTCTGCCGACTGAAATTATTCCTGTAGTCGTCTCTGCCAACGGGCTAATCCCAGTCAGCCTCTCGGGTCATCTGAGGCGACTGGGACTCCGTGACGGACCGCTCCGGGCTCAAATGCAGAAGGCAGTGGTCCTCGATACCGCCCGCATCGTCCGTCGGTTTCTTTCCCTTTCCCCCTAACCCTCGGCCGTTTGGTCTCCCCTGCCGAGGGCTTCCATCTGGTTGGATCTTTATTTATTTATGTATTTTTTGTATTTATTTTATTTTATTGATATTTATGTATATTTATCTTTTCATTTTAATTTATAATTATATATTTATAGAACCCAACCAGATGAGAAAACTATACAGATACCCCAAAAATAATAATAATAATAATAATAATAATAATTTACTGGCGTAGGGAAGTGACGACCCCATCGCCCGCTGCCGTAACGGTTATGTGACAAAACCGCTACGTCAGCGCAGTCAGTCAGCACCTTGCCAAGAGGTGTTAGTGCCGTGCCTCGGCAAAAATTGAAGGTGCAAAGGCCCGCTTGTGCACATGGCCTCACCATGAAACGGCGCCGGGTCTGGGCGTCTCCCGCTAAATGACGCCCACCACTATGGATGATGGAATACGGAAGAACGCGCAAAGGGCCGCTGCCTGGAGGTCGCCAGGGCGCGTCTGGAGCTGGCGCTGGACGCGGCAGCATGCGAACCGCCAGCCGAGCGCGAGGTGCTGCACGACCACCCAGCAGCCCCTCGCATCCATCATCCCCACCAGCTGGCTTGGTGTCGGCAGGGTCTTCGCGGGCCCAGCAATCGGCACCCGCCTCTGGTGGAGTACGCCGCATGCGTTGGACAACCCAGATGAACAGCAACGCATTGCGGGCGTATTTTGGGGCGAAAGGGGGAGAAACTGGATGTTTGGCGTATCGGGCTAGGATGCATCGTCTTTTTGCTGAGCTGGAGCCATCTTTAACCGTCACAGAGCAAAACCTGGCAGACCGAGTTCGGTATATCTTGCGCTCAAATATATTTGATGTCGCCGAACTCGAACGGCTACGACGTGAGGCTGTTCCCTCGTCGGATGAGAATGCTACGGCTGAGGATGCGGCGCCACAAATGGTAGAGCAACCCGCAAACGTGGATGCCGCCGTGAATACCCCAGTTGTGGTTGATTCAAACGATGATGGAACAGTCGCCCAGGAACTGGAATTAGAGCATATGAGGAGTACATTGGAAGAGGCGATTGTGGAAACGCGCAGTACGCCTCTCGAAAATCGACCGCGACTTCCCCGCATAGCCCTAAGCAAGCGGAATCGGGCTGTCGTGAGGGCTCTGAACCCAATGCTGGTGACCTATTTGGAAGCCAGCCGGGACCTTTGCGAGACGGACTCAATTCTTTTTGGCGCCGCGCTGGCAGTCTGCCGTATCATAGGCGCCAAGGTTTCCACGGCTGGACGCGCTACTGGCCATAGTAGCGCTATCCCAGCATGGAGAAGAAGAATTGAGGAACGTATCGCAAAGGCTAGAGCTCTCATCGGCAGACTGATATGCTTCAGATCAGGCAACAACAGGCCAAGAATTGTGCGCACCGTCAGGATGGCGTTTGCTGGGACAAATGTCAGTTTGTCCCAGCCGGATATAACGCAAAAACTGACGGAGCGCATAGATGATCTGAAGCAGAGAATCGCTGCTTGGGGAAAGCGGATTCGGCGATATACCGAGAGGTCGACACGGTTCAACCAGAATCGTCTCTTCCAGAGTGATCAGAAGAGGCTCTATGAATCATTGGAGCGACCAATGGTAAGTGGAACGGGTCCAGCACCGAATCAGGCCGACACTGTAGCATTCTGGCGCGGCCTGTGGTCAGAGCCCGTAAACCACAGCGAGGGCCCTTGGACGGAAGTTGTGGCGAGTCAGTGTGCGGGTATTACGCCCATGGACCCCGTCATCATAACGCCGGATGACGTAGCTGAGGCGGTCCGTAGGGCCCCGAACTGGAAAAGTCCGGGGCTTGACGGGCTGCATCACTACTGGCTGAAGGGGTTCATGGTGTGTCACTCTGTGCTTGCCCGACAGTTTCAAGAGGCTCTCAACCAGAAGTCGCTCCCAAGCCTCTTCACTACTGGGATCACTCATTTGGTTCCTAAAGACCAGGGTACCACAGACCCGAGCAAATACCGCCCCATCACGTGTCTACCGACCATATACAAGACACTAACATCCATTTTGAGCGCGAGAATCACTTGTCACCTGGACTCAAATCAGGTGATGTCGCGCGCTCAAAATGGATGTCGGGGCGGTGGTCGTGGAACCAAGGAACCACTCCTCATTGACGCGGTCATTGGCAAAGTGGTGAAACGCAACCGTCGGAACTTCTCCGCCGCCTGGATAGACTACAGAAAGGCATTCGACTCGGTGCCCCATACATGGCTAAAGAGAGTCCTCGAGCTGTACAAGATAGACTGTACAGTTAGAGACTTCCTCGAGCAGTGTATGGGGCAGTGGAGTACGATCCTTTGTCATCTGGGCGAGCGGATGATGGCTGCGGAGAACCACATAAGGATAAGAAGGGGTATCTTCCAGGGCGATTGTCTGAGTCCAATCTGGTTCTGCCTCTCTCTGAACCCTCTCAGTACCTTACTGGAGGGCTCCGGGAGGGGATTTCAGCTACGGAGAGGAGGGACAAAAGTGACCCACCTTTTCTATATGGATGACCTCAAGTTATTCGCCTCCAGTCGCTCCCATCTTATGGAATTGCTAAACATCACTTGTGAATTTAGCAATTCCATTGGAATGGAGCTTGGGACGGATAAGTGTGCGGTCCTCCATGTTGAAAGGGGAAGGGTTGCTAACTCTGAGGGCGTAGACTTATCTATGCCCGTCAACTTAAGGACCCTTTCCGAGGCTGAAACATACCGATACCTGGGTATGTCACAAAACATCGGTATCGATGAGACTGGTATGAAACAGTCAGTTTGCGACGTGTTTTATGCACGCTTGACCAAAGTGCTTAACAGCCTTTTGTCCGGTGTGAATAAGGCACACGCATATAACGGCTGGGTCATGCCTGTCCTCATGTATACCTTTGGCATACTCAGGTGGACTCAGACTGAACTTAACGCCCTGGATAGAAAAGTCCGCACTACCATGACGTCCCATAGGATGCATCATCCGAGATCGTCGGTAATGAGGTTGTACTTGTCGCGGAAGCATGGTGGTCGTGGCTTCTTGAGCGCGCTCACCATGCATAATCGCGAAGTGTGCAGCCTCCGTGATTACTTCCTGGCGAGATCGGATGATCCATTCTATATGGACGTCATTTCTTGTGATAAAGGACTTACCCCTCTATCCTTAGCCAACGAGCAATGGCAAGACCCGGCAGTGCAGAGCATTTCCGACCGAGAGACCGTATGGAAGGAGAAGGAGCTCCACGGGAGGTTCTACAAGGCTCTACATGAGCCTTTCGTAGACACAGTAGCCTCCCTCCACTGGCTACGCTTTGGTGATCTCTTCGGGGAAACCGAGGGTTTTGTCTGTGCAATACAGGATCAGGTTATTAAGACCAACAACTATCGGAGATACATCCTAAAGGATGGCACCGTCGACATCTGTCGAGCTTGTCGCCATCCCGGTGAGTCACTTAGGCATGTTATCTCTGGTTGTTCGGCGCTTTCTAACTCTGAGTACTTGCACAGGCACAACCTAGTAGCCAGAATTCTACACCAGGAGCTCGCTCTGAAATACGGTCTCGTGGACCGGAAATTGCCGTACTACAAGTACTTGCCGGAAGCCGTGCTCGAAAATGATCGCGCCAGGCTCTATTGGGACCGGGCCATCATCACAGACAGGACTATTCTTGCGAATAAGCCTGATATTGTGCTGATGGACCGGGCACAGTCAAGGATATTTTTGGTCGACATTACCATTCCGTATGACGAGAACCTCGTGAAAGCCGAAACAGACAAGCAAACAAAATATCTGGACCTGGCTCACGAGGTGACCGACATGTGGGGTGGTCTGCCGACCGAAATTATTCCTGTAGTCGTCTCTGCAAACGGGCTAATCCCAGTCAGCCTCTCGGGTCATCTGAGGCGGCTGGGACTACGTGGCGGACCGCTCCAGGTTCAAATGCAGAAGGCGGTGCTCCTCGATACCGCCCGCATCGTCCGCCGGTTTCTTTCCCTTTCCCCCTAACCCTCGGCCGTTTGGTCTCCCCTGCCGAGGGCCTCCATCTGGTTGGGCTTTTATTTATTTATGTACTTTTATATTTATTTTATGTTATTGATATTTATGTATATTTATTTTTTCATTTTCATTTATAATTATATATTTATAGAACCCAACCAGATGAGAAAACTATATAGATACCCCATAATAATAATAATTTTATTTAATTAATAGCCAACCACTTGCCATCAGTGACTGTGTGCTCGTTTGTCACCCTTATCTTATAAAATAAACATCAGTGTGGTCTAGTTCGCAAAATAATATTTTTAAGTTACCTTCTGTTATATGTTTTCTGTAACCATGTCCGTTAGCCAAACGTACATGTCACAGTAATATTATGTGTACATGTTGACCGCGTAAACTTTGGTAAGTTTGCTTTTGATCTTCTTTCCGTTTTGGAAGCCATGTCAGAAAATTGGGAGGAACTTCCGTCTCATCAGATTAAACCCATCAGAAAATAAGATCAATCAGAAACTTAAAATTAATCATCAGCATCTTCTTTTCTAGTGTCCATAGGGTCAATCAAATCATAGAGCTACTAGTGCAGCTCTTTCAAAACTTTTAGACTACTTAAGTATACTTCTGACAGGCTGCAAGGAATGTATGATAATTAGAAAATTAGAGTAGTCTATGTAATAAAATACCATTTACTATATTATACTATACCAATATAAAGAAGTAGTGTTAGCCTGCGGCTAAAGATAAGAAACATTTGGGTGGCGAGCGTTCGGCGAGGCGTACGGCGTGGCGGCTTGTTTCTCACACAAGCTAGCGTCCGCGGTTCAGGACATGGCAATACAAGCATGTATTGCAATGAACTGTGTGTGTTTGATACGCGGTAGAGCCATGCTGCAGTTATTCTATTATGGTTGTAGCATGAATGGTTCGGCTCGACCGGGGTAGGAGTCCTACCGTAGGACCACGCTCTCACAGAATACCAGTGTGAAATAGCAGCTTAATGCTGTTGTATTTCGTATGGTGAGTGTAGAGAACCGGAGTAACTTTTTACTGGAAACGAAGCATTCCAACTCAATCCTCAATCAAATCTTTTTCCATAACTTATAACCCATATTGTTTTTCCACATCCAGGGACTCAATTGACCCAATTTATTGTCGCACCGTTCGGTTTTCCCAAGGATCTGCCAATCCACAGAACCCGAGATGGCCTCCGCCATTTTTGGGATCCTGTCTTCCAGCATCAACCTGGTGCAAGGGGCCGTGACCAAAACAGGTTCTTTGGGGGGTGGAGGGTTTGAATACTGGTCTCCCCTGTCGTTCCGACTTCTCCTCATCCAAGGCTACAAAGCCCGCCGATCCGCTTTAAACCGCCATGTGGTGACCCATTTCACCTTTTATGACAGTAGATGTTCTATTGTCATAAATTGTGTTAAATTGTGGCCTCTGCTTCCTCGAGCGAAATTAATGATAAAATTTATATGTCAATCATTGTCAGCAAAATTAACACCCTTAAAAAAACCATATTGGTTTTGTCTTTGAAGGGTAAGGATAACGTAATTAATTTTAAATCCCAATCGATTAGTCATAAATATTGTAGTACACGTAAAACATTATATCACGTATACGTATAATTTTGTTCGCTACGCAAAAAAATCTAATGCACAAAAGGTGATAAGGCATGTAGAGGTTTCAAGTTTTTCGTACTAAATGTAAATATTTTCCTATAGAGGTAGGCACCGTATAACAATACATTATAATTATATTACTTTATGTTTTGTAAATTTTAAGTTTAACTTTAAATATGTACAATAGTTACCGGTCCTGAAAGTAGTCTTGTCTTAAACGAAGCCTGTAGTGAGGCGCCATGACAAACATTTTTTTATTGAATAAGAGAGATAAACAAGCAAAATGTTTTATTTTTGCAACCATCATCATTTATCCGTTATGGATACACAGCTTTAACAGCATATGGATGTCAAACGAGCACAGTTCACCTAATGGTAAGCGGAAATGGTGGGCCCATAGACATCTGCATTATCCTCAATTAACAATCAAAATGCTGATGCGTTTTCACCCGTAAGGCCGGTTTTAGAGCTCGACCAACCGTCGGCGCATACGTCGGTTGCGCTTGCCTTTTGTATGAAAATTCACAAGTCGTTACAGTGCTTGACCGACCGTTCGCACGCGTATGTAGCTATGCAGCTACGCACTGCGTACGAGGACCGTCGGTCGAGCGCGTCCGCATGCGTACCGTCGGTCGACCGACGCGCTATAGAAACATATTGACGCGTTCAGTGCTATACTGACCGTCAAGAAAATCGAACCTAAACTTTAATAATATTATACGATTTTATAGGTAATAGTGTTAGTGATTTAAGTAAGTTTTATTAAACATGGCATATGTCCACACCGAACGCCTTGCGGATGTTTTAAGTTGTCTTGCAATTTCACTGATAATTCATCAAAACTTTTGGTTGATATTCTAAAGTAATAAAAAAATTCTTCATCTTCGCCCAAAAATGCATATAAAGTAGTAAATTCCCCTTGAAGTGCTCTTTGGGCGACGACGATTGGTTGAACCTGATATCTACGTCTTCTGTTCCTTATACGTTTACGAACATAATAAGAAGCAATTAAACAATTAACGCGTCTATTTCGTGCACGTGTTTGTGACTGTACCAGTCCGGCCAGTTTAGTTGCTCAGGAGAGCTCTGAATGCTACAAACTGACGATCGGTTATGCGTATCGTCAGGACCGATGGTACGCACTGACGGTCGGTCGAGCTCTAAAACCGGCCTAAGGTCTAAGATGGAATGCCTCGTTTCCAGTAAAAAGAGTCACCGGTACTGTACACTCACCATACGTAACACATAAGCTTTAAGATGCTATTTTACGCTGGTATTCTGTGAGAGCGTGGTACTTCCCCGGTCAAGCAGACCCACTCGTGCATTTTTACCCCCTGTGGACTAAGATGGAATGCCTCGTTTCCAGTAAAAAGGGCCATTTTACAAATCTACTACAGCCCATGGAACCCTATAATCAATTTATAAAAACAAGGCTACAGGTACAATGCCAAGATGGAATGCCTCACAAAATAATATATTATTTAAAAAAAAAACTAAATAATAATAATTTAGATATTTTTTTGTCAATTTTCTCCTAAAAAGTGCCTAAGCTAATAAAAGTAATTTTTTTTATAGAATAGTGGTCACCCTTAACGAGTCACTTTAAACAAGCCCACAGTCCACTTGAAAGTAAGTGGATGCTGCGGCCCATAGCCATTTACATCTATCCTCGATTAAGAGTCAAAGTGCAGAGCGTTCTCACCCGATACGAGTACGAAAAACTTGAAACGTCGACATGCCTCATCACCTTTTGTGCATTAGTTTTTTTGCCTACCAAACAAAATGATACGTATACGTGATACGTGTACTATAATATTTATGATTATTCGATTGGTATTTAAAATTAATTACATTATCCTTATCCTTTAAATACAAAACCAACATGTTTTTAAAGGCTGTTAATTTTGCTGACTTTGAACATATTAATATTATCTAAATTAAAGTTCTTAAGGATTAATTTGCTTATATTCGCGTAATGATATAAAATTATGAGTTTTACTTAGTTTGAAGAGCACCGGCGGAGCCGGGCGGAGGAACCCTCCCTCAATTGCGTGCACTAATCCCATCACCACTAATCCCAGCACCAATACTTCCAACACCACTACACTAGGAAACTTTTAAACATATGTATTGATCATAAGCTGTGAAGGTCCTAGTGAGAACTCCAGGTCGTAGTCATTAAATTTATTATAATATTGTCATCTGTTCTTAATACGAATGCGAATTTACTATCCGTACGGCCGTCTATAAGTTGGTGAAAATATTAAAAAAGATTCCGTTACTTAGCTATCTATGTAACAGAATCTTTTAATATAATTTTCATTTATCTATATAGATACGCAATAAAACGATATCTCAATGTTGTTGTTTAAAAAATATAATGTTTCCTTGTAGCTAACTCTATTTTGTGATGCAGTTTATACCTACTTCACAAAAAAGCGGGTCACGGTCAAGCAGGCTGGGCGCAAGACGTAATACCTAGTCTTAACTTAAAAATCAAGCAAAAAGAAGATTTACTAAATAATAGGTGATATAAATGTGATTATTTAAAGCTAGCTGATACCCGCGACTTCGTCCGCGTTGCTTGATATATTTAACAAAGTTTTCGTATGTGCGAAGGAAAAAACATCAAAAAGATCGCAAGCAAAAATATGCTTTGCTTACAAAATTATTTGTTAACAATGTTGTTTGTTGGTGGTGCTTATGAAAATCGTAGTTTCTTAAAATTTTAATAACTTTATATTAAACGAAGATACCGCAATATTTTTTTTTAGATAAGGGCCAAGTGTTTAAGAAATAAAACTTAAAAAACTTAATTGAAATCTATCCAGTAGTATTCCGTGATGTGCGCACAACTGCTATTCTCCTATCATTTTATTTATATAGATATTATTTTTGAGAACTAATTTTAACCCAATAATTTTAACCCATAATCCACATAAATATTATTTTTGAGAACTAATTTTAACCCATAATCAACATAAATATTATTTTTGAGAACTAATTTTAACCCATAATCCACATAAATATTATTTTTGAGAACTAATTTTAACCCATAATCCACATAAATATTATTTTTGAGAACTAATTTTAACCCATAATCCACATAAATATTATTTTTGAGAACTAATTTTAACCCATAATCCACATAAATATTATTTTTGAGAACTAATTTTAACCCATAATCCACATAAAACTTTTTAAAGCGATTATTAAAAAAAAAACTACTGCAACTGCCACACGAGTAGATAGCTACTCATGTGGTAACTCCTGTATGTATACAACATACAGTCGTAATGATGGAACTAGAAATCGTAAATTTTTTAAAAATATGAAAAAATTGAGACAAGTGTACCTTTCACGGGCGTCGCCGCGTCTTTATGCATCATCGTATGTTACTATTTGGCAAATTGCCCGTTGTGATAACATTGAAAAACTCCGCTCGAAACTTTTGTATCACTGCGCCGGTAATGTCATTACATACATACGTTGTTCTATATTTTCAATCATTTTCATCTTTGCACAATCTTTGAAAATGTGATGTGAGACGAAGTACTTCCGGGACGTTAATTTTTTGCGTTAACCGTTGTACATATTCAAATTAAAGTTTGCAACTAATGTATCATAAAATAAAATAAATACTCCAGAATTCTAAAAAGAATAAATAACCATTTATGTGTGTGTGTGTGTGACTTGATACTGGTTACAATCGAAACTAACTTTTTTAAAATAAAAGTATTATATTTATTTTCATACTTAACAGTATTTACTTAAAAATCCCATTTTTAAATGAAGGTTATTTCCATGTGTGTATTAAACAATCATGTAAAAAGGCTAGAAGCTGTAAAGGAATAAAATACTTAGAGCAAAAGTACTAGATACAACCATATACTATATTTACAATAGAAGTTTTACTTACATAATGATACTTTAGGAATACGCATTATAGTGTTTTTTGTGCCCCGGCATATATTTTGACTTGCGAAAAATCAGTGTGACGTGCAAGTGACGCTTGTTGTTCCAACTGCTTGGGAATGAATAATAAGTAGTTGAAATATAGTATATGAGATGCCGTACCGTCGGATGTGAGAAGCACGTTTCGGAATAAAAAATTAAAATATTTATGTAGAGAAATAAGCCAAGAACAATGTAACAAGAAGAAAACTAGAGAGTTGCGAGCTAAGAGTTATTGTTTTGGTTATACAAGCAAGTGATTTTAATGTAACTTTATTATAGATGTACCAAATATATTTGTAATTTCCTCGAAGGTAATACGAGTACCACGCTATTTAAAAGGATTTACTAATTTTAGGTGTAAAACGTACACTTTCATAGGACAGTAGAATAGTCGATATATAATATGTTAGGTATAATTAAATTAGTGGATATTCGATGTTTTAGGTCAACCGCGTGTTAGTTAAGACAGTAATTAGCTTTGTATAATACCGTCTAGCTTCGTTACCGAAATTATTTTATTTGGACGGAAGCCAGCTTTAAACAATGTCACCTTCACCTTGAATTTGGACCGCAAATAAACGTAGCATTTCACTTTCAGTATAAGCATTTGGTGAAATCCTGTTATCGCATATCGTGGGAGTGAGCATGCATTTTTATATTGTTACGTTTGGAAAGTGTCTTGTTATTAGTGGATTGTTTTGTTAATTTTTTTTATATTCAAGTGACAAACGAGCTAACAACCCAAGTCCATGGTTCGGTATTGGTCCACTGATAAATATAGGCCTCCCCATACCTAGATAGTCTCTAGATTTTGCAATAATAATGTCCTCCAGACCGAATTTTGGCCACGGCGGCCTGCCTCAGCGGAGGATAGCCATCGGCGCAGGACAGGATTATAGTGCCCAAGTGTATGCGCAAGCACAGGTGCACTCTCTATTCCCTCACTCTCATAATCCGATGGGACGGTAAACCGACACGACCGGAGAGAGATCAGGCGCTGGACCAACGGCTTTTCGTGCTTTCCGAGGCACGGGGATGAGCCACCGCCAACTTTCTGACTCCGAGCAATTACCGAGAATTTCTTGACGGAAAAACTCAATAATTGATTTTTTGGCCCGACCCGGGATTCGAACCCAGGAGATCAGCAGTCTTACTACTACAACCACTAGAACAACGAGGCAGATTTTGCCATATACACTTGGCAGACAGGTTGGCAACCGCAATTTTTTTAAAGTTGTAATTAGGAAGAGACTGCATCCCATCAACTGGACTGTCGCCTGTTACGACACCCACGGGACGAAATGGGACAGTGGATATTCTTACATCACTACAAATATAAGGAGTTCTACCTAGGCTGCACTAAAAGTATCGGGAATGGAATATTTCCACTGTTCCTGTCATATTAAAATCTTTTTAAAATTTTTTATTTATTTATTTAAAAAAAGATTCTCGGTCTTGTCACAAGGTTTTGTCAAACGTCGTCGTAACAAAGTCGTTGAGAAAATGGAATTGACTCGAGAAAATTCAAGAGCGATGATTTATTATGACTTTCGAAGTGGTTTAACACAAAAACAGTGTGTTGACCGGATGATTTCTGCATTTGGTGATGAAGCCCCATCTAAAACCACAATTTATCGCTGATTTGCTGAATTTCAACGTGGACGTGTCAAGCTCAGTGATGATCCCCGTCAAGGTCGTCCAAAAACTGCAGTCACCCAAGAAAGAAAAGAAGAGCAAAAAGCGGCTCGCGTTACTTGGTCCGTCAGAACTCTCGAAAGATTCCACGTAGGATCCTCAAATGCTGTATACAACATCGTATCAGGTGACGAATCCTGGATATACGCGTACGAACCCGAAACAAAAAACCACTCACGAGTTTGGGTGTTTGAAAATGAGTTAAAGCCAACAAAAATTGTGCGTTCACGGAGTGTTGCAAAAAAAATGATAGCCACGTTTGTCTCCAAAACTGGCCATGTTACGACTATTCCTCTTGAGGGACAAAGAACGGTTAATGCAGAATGGTATGTTAGCATTTGTTAGACACAGGATGTTTCTGAACTCCGTAAAGAGAACTCCAACCGCCGCATCATCCTCCATCACGACCATGCGAATTCTCACACCGCACACAGAACAAAAGAGTTTTTAGAGCAAGAAAACATAGAATTATTAGACCATCCGCCGTACAGCCCCGACCTAAGCCCTAATGATTTCTATACTTTCCCTAAAATAAATAATAAATTGCGTGGACAGAGATTTTCATCACCTGAAGAAACTGTGGACGCCTACAAAACGGCCATTTTGGAGACCCCAACTTCCGAATGGAATGGTTGCTTTAATGATTGGTTCCATCGTATGAAAAAACATTTACATTTTTAAATAGTAATGACTTTTTTTAAAAAGTAATGACTTTTTAAAAATCACTTCCACACTTCCTTGATTCCCGAAATTTTCAGTGCCGCCCTCGTATGCCCAGCATTGGACGAATAGAAGTTGAAACTTAACTTTTTTATTATATGCTTCGCGAAATTACGAAGCGTTTTTGTTAATAAGTAATACTCAAGTTTATAGTATACAACCAACCAATTCAATCAAAACAACCAAAACGATACAACCGGTATTTATTTTAAACTAATACGATCGTCGCCGAATGGGGTATAGCGAAGTCTACGGCCGAAAATTCTTCGTGTGATAGAAAACCTAACCATATCACATATAATATCGTACCGGTACCACAAGGGCCTCTACAATAGGACGGCTCGACCGCAGAAGAATTACGCTCGCACAGAATACTAGCTTTAAACATATAATGCTGATGTGTTCTGTATTGTGATTGGTAAGTACCGGGAACAAAGGAAATACGGCTTTTACTGGTAATGTGGGGCGATCTGAGTCCTCAGGAATAAATAATACATCTGCATTTTGATCATGATCTAGGACGATCATATGTGTTAGGGCCACGCTGCAGCTATATTATGGATTTAGCATGAATGGGTCGGCTCGACCGGGTTAGGAACACTCTCTCACAGAATACATGCGTAAAATATCAGTTTAGTGCTGTGTGTTTCGTATGGTGAGTATAGAGAACCGGAGACCCTTTTTACTGGAAACGAGGCATTTAATTTTAGTCCTCACACAACTTGGTGACAACAAATTGATTACAAATGAAGATGTTTATGGGCTATATATAGCATTCACTCTCAGCATGTGCTCGTTTGTCAACCCTATTAAAAGTAAAAAAAATAAAATAAAAATATGTAGGTTTTTCATGGGTCACAGCTATGTCACAGCGTTTATTTCAAGTGGGGTCGTTAGTTAAACTTACTTCTGTAACAGAGTCTACTCTAGTGAAGCTTTTTTTAATTGAAATTCATATTGACGAAAGAATCATGTCCACTCTGCACATGAAAATTTTCTAACGGGTCTAGTAATGTACTAAATCTAAACTGCCTATTTCGTATCGCATAATTGAATTTTCAAATAGAGCCAGTAAAAAAGTTATGTAACTACGTCTATCATAC